TTTTTTATGTATAAATTATAATTTTAAATGACATGATCGATTATGAAAGATTGAGATTGATACTGAGATTTCATAATTGATCATGAGTGTCTATGATCAATCATGGCTAAGGCCAATAATTGAGCCGAATTATTTGAGCTTGACTCAGATAGGACTCGATTCAAACTGAACTCATGTTTTAAATGAGCTGAACTTGAAAAAAAAATTTGACTCGTTTAAAAAATGAGCCTAAAAGACTCAGCTCGAGCTCGCAAAGATCGGCTCATTTAAGGTTTGGTTTGAGTTCGACTCATATTTTAAACGAGCAAAGTTTAAACAATTTTTTAAACTCGATTAAAAAAATAAGGTCAACAGTCTCAGCGCGAACTTGCAAAGTTCGGCTCGATTATTAACTCTAATCATGACCTTCCTTTGAACAGTTATAACTTCTCATTTTAAAATCTTTCCATAAAAAATAATAACCAACGGCGGCGCCGATACTAAATTTTTTTTTTCAGTACCATTGAATTACCCCAACTCAAATCCTCATTCCTTGCCTCACTCTTGCAATTCATAATTCTCTTAATTATTTACTATTCTCTCTCTCTCTCTCTCTCTCTCTCTCACACACACACACACACAACATCTTTCTTTATTAGCTAAAAGGGTCGGTGACATGTTCTTTTCTCTCTTCTTAAGGCATGTTACTCCTCAAGCAATACAAACCACAAGGAACCCCTAATCTAACCACTAGCAAAGCTAAAAGAGCTATATATTCTCCCCCACAAAAGACCTTTTTGGAGGAATTAGTTGTTGGTTTGGTTTTATTGAGGAGTTTCCATGAATAGATAAACCTTTGACCACAAAAAGTACTCTACAAACTCCTCCACCCGCTCCATCTAAGGGGGGGCTTCATCAAGACAACAACACTCTTCATGAAATAATAAACAAGCTGCTTACTTTGGCTCAAATTTTGAAAACACTCAATGATTAATAGAACAGTGCACATTATCTATTTTGCAATGCGGCCATTGAGATCGTGGCAGGATCGATGGCCATGCTTTCTATATAATTTTCTTAATTTTTGACTTTTGTCGAACATTTATAATGATTAAAATATTCAGGCAATACCTTACCCCTTTCGTTTTTTTAATCATACATGTTTTGTACCTCAAAATAGGGGTGATCTTGGGTTGGACACTTGGGCTTCATTTCCCAACCCAAATAATTTAGGGGCTCATTCAAATTTATAGACCCAAGAGTAGTGGAGAAAAATAAAAAATAGATTTTGATTCTACAAAATATATTTTAATTGTTTTTAGATATAATAAAAATAAAAAAACTAAAAACCGAAAAAACAAAAATACATTTTTTTGGTCGGATACTATTACATGGGAGGGCAACAACGAGATTCGAAATTAAGTCAACTATTATATAATTTAAAAAAAAACAGAGAGAGAGAGAGACATGATCATGGGTGGGATTATTCCCATCCCACCAATATACATTACCACCCTATTAAAATATTTATTATCAAACTATTAAGCTCATCTTTTTTATAATCACCCTATACTAGATACTATATATGTTCCTTTAATAAGTAAGTTATCTTGTATAGTCCTCAAGAAAGCCCACTTAGAAAGAAAAGAAAATTAAAGCTTATTGAGGTGAATTAGATTGGTTTTAATAAGCCTTTATAGACTCCATTCAACCTCTAGGTTCTGGTGATAACATCAACTTAGTTATAGCATTTGGAAACTAGTATTGAGTACATTGCTAGGTAGGCATAATTCACAAGAAGGACATAATGAATGAAAATCCTAATTGTAAGAAGATTTAAAGATGATATTACTTATTAAAGAGTTGTATATATTATGGGATGAACTTAGTTATTAATGGGGTAAATATAAAAAAGAATGAGATTAATAGTTTGATAATAAAGATTTTAATGGAAGGAAAATGGATATTTGTGGGGGTGAGAATAACCATGATCATTGAATATAGGAAAAATCGCACTTTGCACCCTGAAAAATTTAAGAATTTGTGCTTTGTATTGACCAAAAAAATAACATAAATTAATAAAAAGGTCACATTACAATATTTTTAATATATTAAAGATGTAATATAAAAAAAATTAGCAATTGCTCATGCTTGAAGACACGGTGTTACTTGTAAATTAGTTATAAATATTTGTTTATACATAAATGTAAAGTAAAATACAATATTGTAGTAAACGACGAACAAAATAAGCCCGCTAATATTTTTTATAATATTAACCTGCATGTATAGTATATATTTTCACATTAAATTGTTACGCCACGAAAATTATGCTATAACTATTGAAACATAATAATTCAAACATCTGAAAAAATATATCAGTTGACAATATTCAATGTTCTATTTTTTATTGAAAATCAACTTTATCTAAATAATAATGGAATTCATAACTAATAAAATAAAAATTATAACAATACTTTCACAAATAAATTAAGTCTGTAGATGTTGTCAAATGACCAAATATAATTATCAGAAATTTAATCGACTTCCAAAAGATACAACATGACTATTAAATTTGTATGATTCTAGTTTATAGCAGTGCTTTTAATTTTATATCATTCTTTTCGGTGATTTATATTCTTAGTATATTTTTTTAAACTAAACGTTATTTAGTATTGGATTATTTAGTAAAGATTGGTACTTCATGTTGTTCCCTAAATATTGAATTTGTATGATTCGTGTTCATAGTATTGCTTATAATTTTGTATCATTCCTCTTGTTTATAATTTTGTATTATTTTTCTCGGGTATTTAAATTTGGAATATTTAGTAAATATTGTTACTTTGTATTGTTTACTAAATATTGAATTTGTATGATTTGTGTTTATATATTTTAAATGTTAAACATATTTTTTTTAATATACCTCTTGATATTTGAGTTGTCCAATAACTTGAATTTAATCTTATATATTTTACATGTTAAGCTTAATTTATTTGTTAAATCAAATTTTTTACAAGTTATGCTTTTTTTTATTGACTATGGAAAAAAATAAAATTGACTATTGAATTTGTATGATTCGAGTTTATAGTAATGTTTTTAATTTTATATCATTTTTTTGAATTATTTATATTTTTAGTATATTTTTTTAAACTAAACGTTATTTACTATTTGATTATTTAGTAAAGATTATTGAATTTGTATGATTCGCTGATATTTTTGTATCATTTCTCTCGCTTGTAATTTTGTATCATTTTTCTCGGGTATTTACATTTGAATTATATAGTAAATATTGTTGTTTTGTATTGTTCACTAAATATTAAATTTATATGATTCGTGTTTGTATATGAATTTAATCTTGTATATTTTAAATGTTAAACATATTTTTTTTAATATATTATATATCTCTTGATATCTGAGTTACCCAATACATTGAATTTAAACTTGTATATTTTACATGTTAAACATATTTTATTTGTTAAATTAGATTTTTTTCAAGTTAAGTTTTTTTTTATTGATTATGGAAAAAAATAAAATTGACTATTGAATTTGTATGATTCGTGTTTGTAATGTTGCTTGAATGAAAAAGAGAGATACAGATGAATAATTTTGTAATATATACTATATATCTAATATTTATTATATAATTTTCCTTTAGAGAAAGATACAAAGGAATATTTTTATAATATTTTATCTCTCTATGATATATAGTATCTGTCTATAGAGAGATGCAATATTTACTTGAATCAAACATTATCTAATATTTTTGTGAGATACAGAAAAAAATATTGTGAAAAATTGATACTTTTTGCATGAATTGAGCATGAGAGAGATTTACTTGATTTAAGGAAAAAATTTGGGGAATTAAATTTTGGAATATCAATTTTGAAAACTATAAATTTTGAGATGCAAAAATATTTCAAAAGACTTAATGTGATATGTCGGATTAAAATGATCTGAGATGTCAATAGCTCGAGACAGTTTGGGATAATGTCGTCCGTTAGATAATATTTGTTTTGGTCACGAAATAATCTAAACCATTTTTTGTCTCTAAAATTCAAATTCGTTATACTTTATTATATAGATATAGTATTTGCTTGAATCAGACATTCTAAAATTTTCGTGACACATAGAGAAAAATATTGTGAAAAATTGATACTTTTTGACTGAATTAAGTGTGAGAGAAAGATATAGAGGAATGAGAGAAAAATTTGCTTAATTTAAGAAAAAGATTTGAAAGAATTAAATTTTAGAATATTAATTTTGGAAACTATAAATTTTGAGCAGCAAAAAAATTTCAAAAGAGTTAATGTAGTACGTCGGATTAAAACGATCTGAGACATCAATAACTTGAGACAATTTGAGATAATGTAGTCCGTTGGATGATAATTTTTTTAGTTATGAAACGATCTGAGCTGCTCTTTGTCTCTAAAATTCAAAATCGTTCTACTTTATTATATAGATATAGTATTTGCTTGAATCAGGCATTCTAAAACTTTCGTGAGATGCGGAAAGAGAGACATAGAAAAATGTTGTGAAAAATTGATACTTTTTGCATAAATTAAGTGTGAGCGAAAGATACAGAGGAATGTGAGAGAGATTTGCTTAATTTAATGAAAAGATTTGAAAGAATTAAATTTTGGAATATTAATTTTGGAAACTATAAATTTTGAGAAGCAAAAATATTTCAAAAGAGTTAATGTAGTACGTCGGATTAAAAAGATCTGAGACGTCAATAGTTTAAGACAGTTTAAGATAATGTAGTCTGTTGGATAATGAATTTTTTAGTTATGAAACGATCTGAACTGTTTTTTTAATCCAAAATTTAAAAGCGTTATATTTTATTATATAAATTTAATCTTCAACAGGAAAAAGTGAGAATCTTAAAAGTTTCAAGGACGAAGTGCAATTCGCCCTTCAATATATTCCCGCCAAAACAAGGTTTAGTACTCATTCGAATGTATCCTAACGCCCACACCACCAGAGAGAGAGAGAGTAAAGTAGATTGAAATCAGAGCTCATCGTCAATGGAGGTGAAACAAGCAGGATCGTCACTCGATTTCTTGATCTCATCATTCAACACTCGAATTGCAGAGCTCCAAGAACTCGTCATCGCTCGCAACAGTAAGTCGCACCCATTAAATTTGTCAAAATTTCTTTGTTCGTCTCCTAATCTCATCCAAACTCTGCATTTCATCTTCACCCCAATCGTCTATTTTGGCAGTGTATCCGGCAAGCAGCGTCACCGATTTATCAGCCGTCGATGCCGCATTGAAGGCTATGGAGCTTCAGGTGCACCAAATCAAACACCGATTGCACGAAGAGACCCAAGCTATCCCCAAGGCCAAAGTACTCCTTTTCCTCTCCCTCTCTCTCTCTCTCTCTCTCTCTCTCTCTCTCTCTATATATATATATATATATATATATAAATATATACAGCNCAAACACCGATTGCACGAAGAGACCCAAGCTATCCCCAAGGCCAAAGTACTCCTTTTCCTCTCCCTCTCTCTCTCTCTCTATATATATATATATATATATACAGTGTGTGTTTACCTGTAATAAGGGTGGTTGTTTTGGGATTTTAGAAAATTCAAATTCTGGATCTGCAGTTGAATTATGATGTTGTTAGGTGAAATTAATCTGGATTATTGGGCGGAAATGTAAGCATTAGATATATGTTGATGTATTTGTATATTTTCTAAACATGAAATTACGGTTTTCGATGATTTGATAGGGATGCAAAATTCTGACTAGTCATGAATTGTGAGTTACAGGGGGTCTTGAATTGGGCTAAGCTACATTTAATGGAAATTTTTTACTAAATTTGCACATTCTGTTGAAAATTTTGAGAAGGACTGTAGGAGGGTAAAAATGTTGGGATTTTTATGATTGTTGCTGTAGGTTCCGTTTGATGGAGAAACTATTACTAAATAAATTGGGTGAACCAAACAGGAAAAGCGAAGAAAAACTTTGAAAATTGAAAATATACTTTTTCATGTGCTGCTTTTTAATGCTGGATAAAGTTAGTTAATGTGGAANGGGATTTTTATGATTGTTGCTGTAGGTTCCGTTTGATGGAGAAACTATTACTAAATAAATTGGGTGAACCAAACAGGAAAAGCAAAGAAAAACTTTGAAAATTGAAAATATACTTTTTCATGTGCTGCTTTTTAATGCTGGATAAAGTTAGTTAATGTGGATCAAAAGTATGACCAGTTCATGAAATTTTGTTTGTGATTTGTATGGAATCATTTTTTCCTTTTCCTGGTTGCAGAAGCTGATTGAAGCATCACTGCAGCAACAAAAGAAATTGCAGAGCATGTCTGCTTTTGTTCCAGCGTATCTGCCAGAAAAAGCTACAGCTTTGCATCAAGATATAAATAGAGGGTAAATTTATCTTTTCCTGATTCAATTGTCTTTTTCATTCCAATATCATTTCTTTTGGGGGGGTGAATGTCATGAACAAATGGTACTATTTTTATTTTATTGTTTAGCTTCAATATGCTCTCAGAAACCTCCAAAGAAGATTTTGCATTTGGGACTTTGAAACTTGAGGAGGAACCTGCAGTATTACCCAAAGTAAGGAACTATTTTCTCTGTATAGACTTGATGTTTGCTCATGCTGGGCATGTTCAAAACTCTCTCGAATCACTTTTGTCCAAGCTGTTCGTATCTTGAACTCATTAATTGTTGGGTGCTGTTTGAACCTGGTTTATTCACTGTTCAGCATCTTTAGGCTACCTAAGAAATCAAGATACTTATAGTTTGGGCAAGTTGATAATTTTACAAGGTCCACACAAGAGGCACATGCACAGTTATATATAGGACGGACATGGGGACATTCTCAACTTAAAAGCACTATATTAGTTTGGGGAATACAAATTTTGATTTAATTGGAGGTTTATCAGCTCAACCAGTNGTATTTCCCAAAGACCAGGAGTCTCTGATACGTTTTTGCCCTGTTCTACTGACTCGACTTTGATGTATGCACTGATATGCTTAATCAATTAATATGGTTATATACAAGTGTTTCAACCAACTGATGGAAGATTGGCGCACAAACCAAAACAGATTTGAGAAGCTTTTGTCAAAATAAGGACATCAATTGTACGTAGCATTATGAAAAGTTAGGATGATCAGTGCTTAACAATGAACAAGTATAGCCAACCATAAGAACATTCAACATACCAATTCCTGACGAAGCTTCTGATTTTGGTGAATAGCGGAAGCTTTCTCTTCAGTCAATTTAGAAATCATAGACCATGCCTGAAGCATAAATATTTCAAGTTGGAATGGTATTTTTAATAGCAATGGCATGGTAATAAAGCAATCAAATCAAATGTAAAATAACAAAAATATCAGCACACAGATGTACTACTTTATGATGATGGGCAACCACCCGTACGGGATTCAGTGCACAAGGCCTCTACAGAAGGAAAAACTTAATCCCTTTATGAATCCTATCATCTGAAACAAGTTGATTAATAGACAACTGATTTTTCCTTTCCGTGCACACCCCGTAAGCAACTTGCAAGTCCAGCAACGATGTTAAAATATGAGTCAGACTTTATACCATCTCTTAAAAGGCAATGAATCCTATAAGGATACCAACATCCGCTATTACATTTAATAAAATAGTCATCATTAAAGACAAGTGGTGCAAATAAATTTAACATATGATATTCTAATGTCACAAACACACTGCATAGGTGGTCCAGCAAAGAAATAGAGGAAAGCATTCTTAGTTTACTCAAACTTGAACAGCGAACCTTCTCAATATCTCACTCTGTTCCAAGAATTTCTCAAATTGAATAATTACTATGTTGATCGGATAGTGTTATGTGGATATATTTCTATCCGACGACACCAAGAAAAATGTTTAGCCTAACTATATAAAGTGCCCCATTAGTGGTCCCTCAACATGTCAACATAATTGCATAAAATCAAGTTAGCTTGAGAAAAAATGACATCAGAGTGATAAACTCAGAAAAGACCATGTGTACATATGCATGTCGACGAAAAGAAAATGATTATTCACCTCTGCCGATGAAGGTTTCCCTTTGGGCTCCTCCAAAGATCTTTTTACCTAACATTTGCAAAATCAATGAGCATAGGGACCATGTACAACCCACTTTGATGAAAAATAAAAAGCAACACAGCCATCACTTACAGCATCATGCAGTGNGACTTGGTATGAGATGCCACACCCTCAAACAGAAGGTGCAGTTGTTGTAAGTTCATGTGAAAAAATGCTTAAAACTAGTCAAGTTCTTGGGAGAAATGGTTCACATGAGTCAGACCTTTGTTTGAACTACTTTGTGTGGTGCAAATTGGAGCGTGTTCTTCAAATTCTTCCATATATGCCGGGCAAATCTTCATAGTTCTGCTTCACCTTCTTCCATGGGCAATAATTCCTCTACAACACCGGTGCTTAACTCTATTGACCAGTTGCCATAGAGTGGCTTTGTGAAATGAAAGTTTACCGATCGAAGCTGGATAAAGTTTGCCACAGACTCGGAGGTATTCATCCTCCTAAAAACAAGAGAACGGGAAAGACTCCACTTCCCCCAACCTTCTCAATCATGACGACGGGGGAGCAAATCAAAATAAAAAAACCTAAATTGGGTTTAGAAATAATCATGCTCAGATTGATAACTTCCACCACATCAAGGTAACACTCTATCGCTGAGTTATATCCTTTCCCTGCCCCCAAGATATGCCAAATTCTGCTCCACCTTCTCCAGCACTGATGAATAGTTGTGCTCCTCCTGCTTCAATGGGTACTAATTCTTCATTCCTAATTTTGTTCCACCTTCTTCCATGAGCAGCAATTCTTCTCCATCGGTTCCTAGTTCTGCTTCACCTGCTTCCACAAGCAATAATTCTTACATACCACTGGTGCTTAATTTTGCTCCGCATACTTCCGTGGACAGAAAATCCTCTCCACCACTAACAAATAATTCTGCTCCACCTGATTCCATTGGCAATAATTCTTCTCCACCACCAATTCCTTCTACTCCACCTGCTTCCATGGGCCATAATTTGTCTCCACTGATGCATAGTTTTGTTCCTCCGCCTCCATTAATGGCTCCAAACCGTGATTGCTCCATAGATCCTAGAAAACTAGCCATATGTTCTATTATACTTAAAGGTGTACGTGGGGAGCACCCACATTCAATTCATTCAGATCCTCCAGATGGTTAGACACTTTCTTGTAATGGGGGAGAGACATGCAAATCAGAACGCTCCTAATTACAATCATTATGACTTGGGCGTTGCTGGTTTGAGTCACAAAAAACAATTCGGACATGTAGATAAGGCTGCGTACATCATTACATCTGACTCTCCATAGACCCGCAATGACAATAATCTTGTGTGGTAGGTTGTCATTTATAAGGAGATGTAGGATTATGAAAAAAGGAGAGACTTAAAAATTAGGAACTTAGTTTAAAATCCCTTCGCAATCTTGGTTTATTACATCAATGAACAAGGGAAAGGAATACATAAAACATCATTTCCAATTACTTACTACTTCATACACACAAACACATGCATGCACACACAAGCGCAGGGGAGAGAAATCTATGCACACACAAAGCCTGTAGGAACCTTCTTTCCACAAGAATTAATGATCAAACTGAGAGCAATAGGTACTTTGAGCTTGATGACACCCAATACATTGGCCTTAATGGCAGTGCATAGACACAATGCAGCTTCAAGATCAGCAAGTCCTGCAATCAGGGCGCAGCACTGGCTGCTAGGTTTGGCCCCAATAATCTCATGAACCAGTCCGAGCCAGTCACCACAAACACCAAACTTTAGGGTGTCTTTAGGGCAATTGGCTGGTTTTTTTGGGGTCGAGGGAACCGCCAGAGAGGCTTTTGGAGGGGGGCATGGGAAGTTGTGGCAGGAGACACAAGTGAAAAAGATGAAGTTGATTAAAAAGAGAAGAGCAATTGCCTCAGAAGAACTCATTTTCCCACAACAAGATATGAGTGTTGCTCACTAGGTATTTATAGAAATATTGGTGCACTGGAGTTCACATGCACATCAATTAGCAGAATGGAACTACTGGCCATGATTTTTATTTTTTTGATAAATCATCCCAACCACATACCTTTTCAATTCATGGCGAAGTGCTCTCTCAAATGTTTCCACTCGTGCTCCCACAAGCCAAGAGGTTTCAAGAAAACAGGCGACCAAGTGATAGTGAATGGCTCCGAATATGCATGTAATCACTCACTAATCATGAGCATCAATTAAACCAAAGCAATATAGAACTATAGAGATTTAAACTCATGTCCAAGTCTATGTCTCGTCCTTTGTACAAACCTATGGGGTTGGTCACATATATTGCTGATGGGAGAGAGTATTGATGGCAGATTTTTGTGAACTGGTGATGGTCATGGACTGAATCAAGCTAACCCTCTGTCCATGGCCACTCAAATATGCAGAGGCTGATATATGCTGGTCCTGAACCAAGTCAGAAACTCCCAAGAGTTTGTAGGGCCCTATATTAATTTCTTAATAATTGACATATTTGTTTCTTTCTACCATGCTTTTAATGCTTTGGCCTGTTGTCATGGCAAAAGTTAAAACCTTCTGAGGGTTTAAGTTATGATCGATTCTAAAATGTACTGTTGTGATCCACCCGGACAGTTGGGTTACCAAATGTAAAAGTAATAATAAAATACAAGAATTTCCGCTCCATCAAATATACACATATGATAAAAGGTGTATATATTTATCAGTACATAAGTATATATGAAACTGAGTTTGGGTTAGTTTAAGTTGTTTGGGACACTGACCTAATACGACCTAAATTTACAGTCAAATACTTGCAGATATTCAGGTTGGTCCGAGTAAACCGGTGTCCAACCTGCCCTAGTTGCACCCCTACTCTCAATTAAAAGTTTATTTTGAAAACGGAAGCACATCAAAAAACATTCAATTCATTCAAATCCTCCAATGGTTGGACACTTTCTTCTTGTAATGGGGAGAGACACGCAAACCAGAACACTGCTAATTAAAATCAATTCACTCCCCACATGTTAAAGATCAGAAAATCTCACATCCAGTTGACGGCCAACCAATTCAATAATTCAATAAAATCGTTCAACAGAGTTCTTGTTCAAACTCGGGCAAATAAATCATTCGATGGCAACAATGCATAACAATACATCTTTTTTACACTAGGCTAAGAATGTCCTATAAAGTTTCCAAACTTCGGAATACCTCAATAGTTGATGTCGGCATCCCATAAATGAATGACAGATTGCTATCACTGCAGCTCCTATGTCTTTTTGATCAAGTAGCCAACCAGAATACCAAGTAGACCAAACAGAACCACAAACAAAATGGAGACGCCACCAGCATGGCTTCTGCTGAGTTCTTTTCTCATCAGTTCCTGTAAACAGGAAAATTCAACGGTGGTAATAAAGCATGCATTCACTTTTGAAAACCATCAGTTTGAGCACAAATCATCGCTGAGCCGCAACCAACAGGAATTAGCACAGCATGCTATGAAATCATTCGAATCACTGACCATTTAATTTGCAGGGTCTAAAAGGGTGATCATATTTCTTAAAAGAAAAGTAGATTTTTCAATTACTCTGAGCACGGAATATATTCTTGATAGGAAGAAAGGACAATCACATTAATTAACTCAAAGACAGCAGAAAAGAATTTCACTGCAAATTCTTTATTTTTTTGCTTCAGTATGTACTTCACGCAAATCCCAGAAACTGAAAGGAACAGAAGACTTGCTCAATATGAGACTCAAAACTTTTGGACACTTAGGAGTGGTCATAGTATTTCTCCGGGCAGTGGCCAGTCAAATGACAGAGCTACACTAATGTGGCTAACCCAAAATAGTTGGGACAAGGTACATTAAATGATGAAATTTTGATATATACTGAGTAAATTTCACCTTACTAGCCTTACAACATGTTCTGGCTCCAGGGTTAGGGAGATAATCTAATAATTGGCTTACCCAAACCTAGTGGAATGGAGGTGGGACAACTCTAAGTAGGATTAGGGAAGCAATAGAATTCTTCCAGACAACTCCCTCTTTTCTGTGCTACAGGACATGGTTTTGACTGGAAAAGCCTGCCCCACTGTGGTTTGGCATCCTTTTCTCTTACAATTACATGTCCTATTTTAGTCAGCGAAGAAGCATTTCTATAACAAATGCACAAGTGCAGCATGGTAATGGATCCATCTAAAGGCTGCTCAACCTTGATATATTGTCAACGTGTGGCCACCTTGATATATTGTCAATGTGTGGCCTAGGTTTCTCAATTTGAGTCATTTCTCCCAAAAACCAAACAAATGTGCAAGAAGAAAAGTAAAAATGAGTGTGCGGACAAACATAGTTGTCCACACTGAAAAGTTAGGGAGACTCATGCAACTATATGGCACCTGGCCAGATTTTGCAATTTGAGAGTCGAGTGCTTCTTATGTTACTTCCAATGCTTCCAAGCCGTGCAAGGGTATCAAAAATATTTCCTTGAGGGAAATAAAGGGAACTTAGAAGGTAATAACTAAAAGCTAGTCATGAACACAGATATACTGCTGAATTTACATGATTCATGGAGGTCTCCGCAAATTTAGTCTGACAAAAATTTCTATGGGACTACTATCCAAAATGACTCGAGCCTCTCTGCACAAATCTCACACAGCCCACCAACTAAGTATTTCCCAAAGACCAGGAGTCTCTGATACGTTTTTGCCCTGTTCTACTGACTCGACTTTGATGTATGCACTGATATGCTTAATCAATTAATATGGTTATATACAAGTGTTTCAACCAACTGATGGAAGATTGGCGCACAAACCAAAACAGATTTGAGAAGCTTTTGTCAAAATAAGGACATCAATTGTACGTAGCATTATGAAAAGTTAGGATGATCAGTGCTTAACAATGAACAAGTATAGCCAACCATAAGAACATTCAACATACCAATTCCTGACGAAGCTTCTGATTTTGGTGAATAGCGGAAGCTTTCTCTTCAGTCAATTTAGAAATCATAGACCATGCCTGAAGCATAAATATTTCAAGTTGGAATGGTATTTTTAATAGCAATGGCATGGTAATAAAGCAATCAAATCAAATGTAAAATAACAAAAATATCAGCACACAGATGTACTACTTTATGATGATGGGCAACCACCCGTACGGGATTCAGTGCACAAGGCCTCTACAGAAGGAAAAGCTTAATCCCTTTATGAATCCTATCATCTGAAACAAGTTGATTAATAGACAACTGATTTTTCCTTTCCGTGCACACCCCATAAGCAACTTGCAAGTCCAGCAACGATGTTAAAATATGAGTCAGACTTTATACCATCTCTTAAATGGCAATGAATCCTATAAGGATACCAACATCCGCTATTACATTTAATAAAATAGTCATCATTAAAGACAAGTGGTGCAAATAAATTTAACATATGATATTCTAATGTCACAAACACACTGCATAGGTTGTCCAGCAAAGAAATAGAGGAAAGCATTCTTAGTTTACTCAAACTTGAACAGCGAACCTTCTCAATATCTCACTCTGTTCCAAGAATTTCTCAAATTGAATAATTACTATGTTGATCGGATAGTGTTATGTGGATATATTTCTATCCGACGACACCAAGAAAAATGTTTAGCCTAACTATATAAAGTGCCCCATTAGTGGTCCCTCAACATGTCAACATAATTGCATAAAATCAAGTTAGCTTGAGAAAAAATGACATCAGAGTGATAAACTCAGAAAAGACCATGTGTACATATGCATGTCGACGAAAAGAAAATGATTATTCACCTCTGCTGATGTAGGTTTCCCTTTGGGCTCCTCCAAAGATCTTTTTACCTAACATTTGCAAAATCAATGAGCATGGGACCATGTACAACCCACTTTGATGAAAAATAAAAAGCAACACAGCCATCACTTACAGCATCATGCAGTGAAGCATTTCCATTCCCATCTGCAGCCGTGAATACCCGGGGAGGAGAACCTTCTTCTGATCCTTCAGGGACTGGTGAAGGGGGATTAGCAGGAATGTAAATAACCCTCAATTTGAACTCGTCAACAACCTTCCCATCCTCCTTATTAAACTACACACAATGGGCACAGCAGCTAAGACTCAGCAAACTACAACCAGAACACTATAATGATAAAACCACAGCTCAAAGAAATATTGACCACCATTTCTGGGGTTATGTCTTTAGGAGTGACACCATTGGGTGCAATAACACTTTGAATGAGAAATTTGTCCTTGCACTGCATTTCAGGAGGTGCCTCTTTCTGAGCTTGCATTGTAACTGCCAAAACGCAAAAACCAAAATTAACTAATAGTCCTCCCAATATCCTCTCCCCCCCC